GACAAGACAAGACAAGACAAGACAAGACAAGACAAGACAAGACAAGATGCCTGGAGGAGGTATTGAGTGGCTTGGGAGACACTTCCAACCTACCTTGATCTGTCTATGAGCTGTACAGTGATCTCTAGGTTTCCAACTTCATTAGCCCTCACCCTAGCAGGATGATGCAGTTGTCATTGAGTCCTTTGTTCTTCTGTAAGTAACTCTTCACCCCACTTTTGTAAGTCACCCCAATAAAACCCACTGGTCCACTGGGTTTAGGAATGACTCAGGGCTTAAGAACACTGTCTGCTTTTTCATAAGACTCACTTCAAATTCCCAGCACCCTCACGTGGGCAGGTCTGTAACTTCAACTCCAGGGCATCCAATACCCACTTCTGGGAACAGACATGGTGCACAGACATACATGAAGATAAGACGTCCGTAGAAAAGAAAACAATCATCATTAGTTCACCAAGTTAGACTTTGTTGTTTTACACTTGGTTTGTCCTTGTTCCCACAGGAATACTGTCACATATCAGTATTGTAATTGGACTACACAATACTTTTTTCTTTCATTTTTTTCATTTTTATTCGAACATCTAGACTGATGTCAAAAGTTTTTCCTCTAATTCTCATTCCCACAGCAGTGGATAACAACATGTATGCTAACATTAGTTATCATTTCCATTCCTGATGATAGACATTGTAACTAGGCCACCATGGAAACTTAAATGAGTCCTAGTGTGCATTTCCTGATAAGTATATAACTTTTGAATGATAATTTTGGTTTTACTTTGGTTTATTGATATTTATTTGCTTTATTTTTTTACATTTAAAAATTTGACTTCATTACATAATTAGAACATTTCTCTTCCTACTTTTCTCCATCCAAACCCTTCTTTATACCCCTCCCTGATATTTCAAATTCATGTACCATGAAGACCACTGATGTAAGTCATAGGCATTATAGTTGGGTAGGACTGTTCATTGGCTTCCTCCATTAGAAGCTTGCCTTGTACTTCTGGTACCTCAAAAGCTATTCTTTAAGAAGGTGTTTTCTTTGTTTTGAGACAGGGTCTCTCTGTGTATTACCGACTGACCTAGACACTCGGGTGTAGATCAGGATGGCTTTGACGTCAGAGGAGTTTTCCTTGTTCCTGCATTCTGAGAGCTGGATTCATGGGCTTGTATGATCTTGCCCAACTATTCATCACGTTTTGTTATCATGTCTTGACAACTACACAAAGTAACTTCACCACATACTTGATAGTCATGAGTGAACAAATGGGCCTTTTGTCTATTAACATTAAATTTTCAACTCCACTAAATTACAAACTCTAATTAAAATGGATGAGTGCATATAATATATGAAACTAAAATAAGAAGAAATAAATAATGTAAGCAGAACTACAAGTAGCAATGAGACTGAACCAGGAATTACCCCACACACACACACACACTAAATAAAGCCCAACACCAGGACCATATTGGCAGGATTCTATCAGAACTTTAAAGAACTAACAACAAAGCTACTTTAAATACTTTTTGACAAGAAAGGAAGACTTCCTTACTCTTAATATTATCTGACATTAAACCAGATAATGATACAACCAAAAAGAAATTACAGACTGATATGGTCATTTAAAACGTGTTATTAACTATTTCACACACACACACACACACACACACACACACACACACACACACACCATGTTCCTTAAATACTGCCCATTCTCACCTCCTGCCTCTCTGCTATTCGGGTCCACAATTCCAACAAATTTATTGTGTTCATCTCCATTCATTTTGCTTGGGATCCCCTGAGATTAACGGGGGCCATGTGTGAGACTGTGGGTTTGGAGCCTACTGGACTCAGCAGAGGACTACAGTTAAATATAGTGATTCTTCTCCTACAATCCAACATTTGAGAGGTAAAGAGCATTGTGAGCCTTTCTCTCTCTTAGATTAATTTGATCTAGAGTGAGGACAATGCAGGTAAGTGTAGTTGCTGTTGGTTATGGATTACAGCGACTGTATGGAGTCTAGAGCATAGCATGTCTTAGCCCTTCCTCCTCTTTCCCTTATTTCCTTTCCTCCTCTTTCTCAATGGTCCCAGAGTCACAGACTTTCTTAGGATTGGGACCACATACCTCCTTTATTTTCTGAATCTGGGACAGCAAGACACTCTTCATTCACCACTGCGTTAAAAAAAAAAAATCTATGCTTTATCTTAAAGCACCTTTAGCATGCATTACAGAAGACAAACTCCTTTCTGAGTGAGTAAAATGACAAGACCACCTTCTAGGGGTGAGAGCAGTACAGCGCGAGATAAACTCAGCCCTGGGATGTTAGCGATGGACTGACCTGACTTCTTGAGACACCTTTTTTTTTTTTTTTTTTAAATCCAAGGCACAGTTGCTTTTCGCTTGTCGTATTTTTGTTGGCGATGGGATACTGGCATCTGAATTTAGCGTATTATCGTTTGGTGTAACTGTACAGCCCGGGAGGCTGATAGACAGGTCGAGGTTAGGCTGTCTGCTTTTATCTGAAGGGGTCAGAACTCCCTGTGGGGTAAAGTAATGAGTGCAGGGTCCTCCTACATCCAGTTCTGGTCTAGGCTGGCAACAAGCTGTCCAAATCAAGTCCAGGGTAGCCTGAGACGCAGAGGGAGGTTCAGTGGAGCGGAGACACTCACCGGAAACAGCGGTTGAAGGAGGTCGTTGGCCCTTGTTGAGGTAGTGGGAGGGCTTAGAGGCGTGACGTAAGCGGAAGCTGGGACGAGCCTTTACTGATGCTTGGTAAATTGGGCGGAAAAGCCGAAGCCTGAAGTGCCCGGTGCTGAGTCCCTGTAGTTGCTTGGGGACCTGCACCGTCGGGGATCGCGTGGTGCAGACCTGGGAGCAGAGGATACGGCGGGGTTTCGCGGGAACGCGAAAACTCCCCGGATCCGCAATCGCCGCGGGGCGGCCTGGGAAAATCAGCAGTCAGCAGCGCAGTGGGAGAACCGCAGCCCGGCGGCTCTGGAACCTCCCAGGTCAGAGAAGCATCCTGATTTTAATTCATCGTCTCTGATCGCCGAAATAGTGTTATAAAAATAATTGAATAGAATATTTGAATTTATTTGTTGATGCTTGCAAAAACTTTTCTCTTTGCTATGATTGTAAAGACAAAGCTCTTGAAATTTACATCATCCCTGTTAATTTCTGTGTTCTACCTGGTACTTAGCATCCCGGCAGAGCTTTTTGATATTAGTCATGAGAGGACGTGGAAGGGTTTTTCAGCGCAAGGGCATCTTTGCAGTCAGGTGTGAAGGAACACAATAAAGACTCAACATGCAACAAACCTCATGCAAGAGATTTATTCGGGAAAAACAGACTGGTGGCTACACTGAAAGGGAAGAGAGACAGTGGAAGGCTAGGCGGAGGTTGGGCTTTTATAGTGTCTTTGGATCGTGGGCAGGGTGATAGTAGAAATGTACAGAGGGGCCTGAATTATTACTTAATGCTGAAATGGTGAGTATCTATTAGCAGTTAATCACGGGGCTTACTTTCCAGGTTGTAAGCCTCTTGAGGCACAGGCTTGGCTAGACCCCGCCCTACCCGGCCCTTCCCCCAGAATGCTCTAAGGGTCATAAGTGCCATTTTTAGTCCCATAAGGCAAGAGAGTAGCCAGGCTCCAATTTACAGGGGGAAATGCCCAATACCTGGACACAAAATTCCAGCAATCCCTGAGCTTGCACCAAGATCGGGCCACAAATTCTCTCCAATCCCAGGTCACCCTGGAAAGCTTTGTTCCTCTTCACCCTCCCCCAAAATACTATATCAATACAACTTCCTGCTCAGTTCTTTGCTGATTCTCCTCAGAGCAGAGGCTGTGTTTTTCCCTCCCAGTAAATCTCTTCTGTGAGTTTTGTTTGTCTTTGTGGTATTCCTTGATTCCCAGCTGGCAGGATACCTTTCCCTTCAGAGCTGCAAGGCCTGCATTGGGTAATGCTTTCCCTCTCTACTGTAACACTTGCACCAGTCCCGGAGTTCTGGGGTAGGACAGGGGCAGAGTCATTTTCCACTGGCCTGTTACCCAACATAATGGCCTGCATATTGAACTGAATCTGAAATATATTTTTGCAAGTTTCACAGATATGGTTATAAACATAAAGAATTATGGCTTAAAATAGACATTTCATCCTCCATTAACTTTCATCTGAGGCATATGCACTCTATGATGTAAATACAGCATTCTGAAAAGTGTCTTTGCCAGGCTTAGTGACATACACATGGAATCCCAGCACTGGAGAAGCCAAGGAAGGCAGATTGCAGTGAGTTGAAGGCCAGTAATATGTACATAGTGACTTCCAGGACAATCAGAGCTACATGGTGAGATCCTGTCTCAAAAAAAGAAAAGAAAACAAGAAAAAAGAAATGTGTATTTTGGTGCTTAATGTACAGCTTAGAACCAGGAAAAGCACAGTCTGCTGTTTGAAGGTCTCAGGTCACAGTATTTTCACAGCTAAAAAGGGCATTATAGTGCCAGTCAGTGGTGACACACGCCTTTGATCCAGCACTTAGAAGGCAGAGGCAGGTGGATCTTTGTGTGTTCAAGGCCAGCCTGGTCTACAAGAGCTAGTTCCAGGACAGGCTCCAAAGCTACAGAGAAACCTTCCTTGAAAACTCAAAAGAAAAAAACGGGGGGGGGGGGGCATGGGCATTGTAAACCTGGTTGGGGGAGTGGCACATGCCCTTAACCCCAGCACTTTGGAGGCAGAGACAGGTGAATCTTGGAGTTGCTTGCCATCCTTATCTACAGAGTAAGTGTAAGGCTAATGAGGGATATAACAGAGGAACCCTATCTGGGGGGTGGGGGGGGAGAAAGAGAAGGAAAGAAAGGCTGTGGCTTACTAGATAAGGTTCCTTCTGTAGATATATGGCACCCCCCTGACTCTATCTACTCTTTTTCTATATTTTGATTTGGATTTCCCACATGTCTTCATTCTGCTTGCAATTGGTCCAAAGAACTGTATTCCTTAGCCAATAAAAGCAACACATACAGAAGGACATCCCACATCATCTCTCCTTTTCTGTCTAATTAAAAGAGAAGGTTATAACTTTAACACAGTAAAATTACATATAACAAAAACAGGTATCAAGCAAGAATTATAGTTACAATATTTAGTCTATTTATGTCTGGCAAAATTAAGGAAAATATACTATCATCTATTTTATATTTGTGAGTCTAAAATTTCATATCTCATTTATCTTTTAGTATAACTAAGGAAAACTATAACAACTATCTGTCTTCAACACTTTAAAGACCCCAGGATCTAATATTACCTAAGTTAACAAGAAGTTCATTGTTAGTGACTTCCAATACTCTAGAATTGACAGAGACATCTCACTGCCTGCGCAGTCTTCCAAAGTTCTTCTATATTGTTGTAGCATCCATCTTCATCCTCCGACCTTATAGTCCTCTCTCTGCCCAACTGTATCACTTCCTCTCTGTACTGATTTCCAGACCTCTGTGGTTAACTAGTGGCTAATTCTGCCCTCTGATATTCAGACAGGCTTTATTTGTTAGAGTACAAACAAAAGATCACCACAGTACTGTTTCAGAAATCCAAGTGCTTCCTGAACAATCTCTTTCTCATGTACAGGGTTCACTGATCACCCAGACCTGCTCACCTGTGCAGCAGGACAAAGGGCCTGGAAGGAGAGGAGACAGCAGCTAAGGATGCAGGTATAGTAGAGGGACTGGTGAAGGGGAGGAAAGGGATCAAGTGAATGTGGAAGTGGGACAGGAAATCAGTTTTACCACTTCCTGATGCTGTCCTTATTCATTCACTTCACTGATTATGTTTCATACCATTTTTAAATCATTTTCATTCTTTGATTTTTATATATTATAAAAGCAATGAAAATTAATACCTCTAAGTTTATTTATTGTTTTCAGAAATTTTGAGCTTTGGTATTCTAACATTCTTTACCTTTTAGTGTTGTTTAGTATTTTTCATTCCTGAAAATAATGCCAGCATGGTTTTGAAAAGCACCAGGAAGTATCCTGCTAAATCTCCATCTGTACTATCTCCTATTGTCTGTCGAAAATTATGCTAAGTATTTAGAATGTAGTAAGGACCTATGCTGATTTCATAAAGTACTGGTTGTAGGTTCTCCTCCAAGATCCCTGACTTCAGTAGCTCTAGGGAAACTGACAAGGTTTCCAGTTCCAGGCATGTTTTTCCTTTTGTTGAAATTATCTTAATCCATCTAGAAACTGTTGGTTACCACCAAGGTTTGTGTGCCACTCTTGCACTCTTAGGGCTGTCATTCAGTTTGGATAATTTTTGTGGTTCATAGGTGTCATAGCTGGGTTGGACTATTGGGTGGCTCCCTCCTTTGGAAGCTTGGATGTTGCCTTCTGTCACCATGAAAGCTAGTCCCCAGGCATGAAGCTTTAAGGTCAGTTCCATCTTGAGTTCTCTAGGGACTCAACCCCTGTTTCTAAGAGGCAACCATAGCAACAACAATACCATATAATGTTTGGAGGTCTCTTGCACAGCTGTGACCAACAACTTCTAAGCATGTTTCTTAGCCTTGGTGTTGGTCATCTTGTTAGAAAATCTATGACTCTTGAGAGGAATTGTAGTGTAAATTCTACTTTGTCTTAATAATAAATCCTGGAGTCAGATATCAGAAAAGCAGAGAAGCCACCTACTAGAGAGTTTTTACCTCTACCAATGTTCAGACCAAAAGGACGATCCTGTCTCTATTAATCCTCAGACTAAATGCTCTGTTGATGAAATTTCAGATTGAATGCTGTCTCCATGAAACCTCAGACTGAATGCTTTGAGCTCCTGTCTCCTCCTGCCTTATTTTCTCCTTTCCTCCCAGCCGCATCACTCCTGTCTCCACCTCCCTAGTGCTGGGATTAAAGGCGAGTGATCCAGAGTGCTAGGATCAAATGTGTGAACTCTTTCTCTTTCAGACTGATCTCAAGTAGCCTAGTATGACCTTGAACTCACAGAGATCTGTCTCTCTCCTGAGTGCTGGGATTAAAGGTGTGTGCCAGCATTGCCTAGCCTCTAGAGCTAACTAATGTGATACCTCTGCATTCTGATATTCAGGCAAGCTATATTTGGTACAGCACAAACAAAATATCACCACAAGGAACCTCATCAGTACAGTTGGGAAATTTTCATTTATACTCTAAATGTGTATGCTTACTGAGATTTGTATGTACTATAGACATTTTTTGGTGAATGTTTAATAGTCAAGGAATAGATGGATTCCTTATGAATTTTCTAGACATCCTTTTTGTTATTTTACCTTCCTTCTTCTGAGTTTATTGCTATCCCTTCTTCATAGTTAAATCCTCACCCCTGTTTTTTGTTTAAATCCTCACTCCCTTCAGATCATTTTTTCTCTGTTATTCCTGTCTCCATTACTCCCCCACACCCCACAATGCTGTCCTTTTACTTTTCTGGTTACTGCAGTCACTCCAGATTGTGGACTCACATCTGAAGATTTGGAGCTAGGAACGTCCTAGGATAGAGAACATGCATTGTCTGTGTTTCTGGGGCCAGGTTACCTCACTCAATATGATCTTTTCTATGTCCATTTATTTACTTGCAAAGATCATGATTTCAAATTTCTTTATAGCTCAATACTATTCCATGGTGTATGTGTACCATATTTTCACTATCCATTTGTCAGTTGAAGGACACTTAGGTTGTTTTCCTTTTTGTTCATATTGTGAGTAGAGCAGCAATGAGCATGTGTGAGCAAGGATGTGGAGCAGGATGTCGAGTCCATCCAGCATATGCTGAGGAATGGAACAACTGAGCCATGTGCTCAAGTTATTTAGTTTGAGAGTTTTATTTAATTGAGGATTCTCTATTTTGATTTTTAGTGTGGGTAGTTTTTTTACTCGTGGCATTTTTTTTCCAATGGTTTTATTTTTATGTTGTTACTGGCTGAATTATTCGTAGTATTCTTCTTTCTTTTTTTTTGAGAAACAGTGGTTTGCTGTATTGCTTACAGATGAGCACTTTCCAGTCTTCCTATATTTATCTATTCTTCACATGAAATTTATTATTTCCCATGTTCTCTTGGATTATTCCTCTGATTCTCTTGTGCATATTTTACCTCTAATGTATTTGATAAAATCAATTTTGTTAATTGGTGACTATCTTGAATATACGTATATTTCCATCAATTTTAAGAGAGTAGTTTTCTTTCTGCAACAAGATGCTTGGTGATTATTTTCTCTCCAAGTTTCAAATCTCTTTCCATGCTCTCTTGTCTTTGGGATCATTGATTAGATACCTGCTCATATTCTTCTGTTTGGGTATTTTCATGTGGTTTCACATTGTTCTCTGTTTTCAGTATTATTCTTTCAGTATGACCCCTTCATTTGATAGGGAAATAAGCTATGTATTCATTGTTCCTGAAAGAGAAACTCAAAGAAGAGAAACAGTAAGTAATGGCTGATGGTCCAGTACACATATTGTAGGTTAGTGGTCCTTTCTACTCTTTATCTAAATATGTAATACTTTGATAAATTAAAAGCCTTTTATCTGCCTTTGATAAAATTATAAAATTTTATTACGAACAATTCTGCAAACAGACATACAATAAAATCTCTCATTGAAGTTTAGCAGACAAAAAGACCGTACAATTCAGAGTACTTTTATATAGTCATCATAGGAAACAGAAGCTCTGGAGCCTCACAGGGGATTTTATATTTTCACTATTGAATGTATTTTGATTTTCTTATCCACCACCGAAAGCCCAAAAACCTTTGACAGAATTAGAACTAGAAAAGCCCTTAACTTTATATCCTTTTTCATAACTGGTATTCATTACCTGCATTCTGTCGCTGATAATTTAACCTTTTCTGTTCTCTTTTCTTTATGTTATACTGTGCCCTTGTATATATTCTTTATATATGTAAACAATAATTTATATTTAAATATATATATTATTGGGTAGATTCTGCATATGAGCAAAAATGTGGCGTGGTGTCTTCTTTCTAAAAGTATATGACTGTACTTAATAGTACACATTTTGGGTCTTTTTGTTGTTGTTGTTGTTTGTTTTTTGAGACAAGATTTCTCTGTAGCTTTGGAGCCTGTCCTGGAACTAGCTCTTGTAGACCAGACTGGCTTTGAACTCACAGAGATCCACCTGCTTCTGCCTCCCGAGTGCTGAGATTAAAAGCATACACGACCACTGCCGGCTGCAAATTTGTATTTTTCTCTTCAATTGAATAGTTCTCCATTTTATACAATTTTCATTTTTCATTCATCTATTCATAGATAATTAGTTTGATTCCAATACTTTTCCTTTGGTGATTATAATAGCAGTAAACATGGGGTATAAATATCTCTGTAGTGGGGTGTGTTGTTCTCTGGGTATATGGCCAGGAGTGAAAGAACTGGGTCATGTTATTTCTCTCTTCAAGTTTTTCAAAAATCTCCAAACTGATTCGCATAATGGCTGTATTAATTTGCACCCTCCCCTCCATCAACAGTGAATCAGACTTCCCTTCTCTCCATATGTCATTGAACATTTATTCTTGGGTTAGTTGATGACAGCCATTCTGTCTGGGGTGAAGCCATATGTTGCCAAGTAGTTTTAATTTGCATTTCTATGGTGGCCTTTTTCGGATCCTGAATGCTTTTGCAATATTTTTTGGCTGTTTGAGTGGTCTTTGGTCTTGAAATAGTGTCTATTTAGTTTATTTGCCCATTTGTTGAGTTGTAGTTTTGTTTCCTCAGTATTTAATTGATTTAATTTCTGTTCAATTCTTGCTGTGAGCTTTATCCAAAATGTCAGTGATAAAAATTTTCTTACCCATTGCTTAAATATTTTTTGATGTGTTTTTGGACTGCCCTTGATTTTTATTACTCTTCAGGAGTGAAATGAAATATCCTCAAAAACCTCTGAAATGGTTATTTGCCTCTGTTAGCTTATGCATATTCTTAGGGAAATTTTGGATTACATCCAATATGGCCGATGCAGATTTTTCTATTTGTTGTGGTCCAAAAATTCTCATAAAATTAGTTCCATAGAACGCTTATCTTTTATGTTAATTGACAGCACGTAGTGCTGTTGCAATCCTTGCTACTATGAAAAAAAAGTCTTTACCTTTAAAATCAAGCGCATATTCTGCCTTCCATACCTACACTTTTGTTCCTTAATGTTGTGACTTTGTACTTAGAGTTTAAGCATCCTACCCAAGCCTGTTAGAATACAATCATGTAAGGCCCAAGTACACAGAGGAGTGATATGTGTCAATGTTTTGGCATGATCTACTGGTACAGCAATTGAAGCACATTTCCTCCTCATGAATTTTCCTTCTGAGACATGTCTGCTGTGATCCTGTGTAACATAATCACAACATCTGTAATAGATGGATAATAGTTTCCAGACCTTAAATATATTTCTTGTTTCATGTATACTGCTTGTAAGACTATTTCATCCTGTCTTCATAGAGTTAGAACATTCAGGATAGAGTGTGACTGTATTGGACATGATCTGTTTCAGTAATTATCTTGGTTTATCCACATTCTGTTTCCATATATCTAGAAAAGCACTTCCAGGTAGCACATGGTTAAACCATACCTTTTTATTTCAGGGTTTGTTGACTTTCAGGGATGTAGCTGTGGACTTCTCACAAGAGGAGTGGGAGTACCTGGACTCTGCTCAGAGGGCTTTGTGCATTGATGTGATGTCGGAGAATTACAACAACCTGATCTTTGTGGGTGAGAATGTTTTGCTTGTTGAATTCCGAACCCATCTTTTGTGTGTTCTGATTTCATAGGATATTAAGATGTTCTTCATAGGATCTATTAAGCTGTCCTAAAAAAAAAAAAAAAAGAGAGAGGACAAGGCAATGTTTAGTAAGTTTAGTAGTAGGAAGAACTTTTTAATGCTTTTCGGGTTTCCCTTTCCATTTTCAGAGGTGTCATTCATTCTTCATTTTTGTTCCAAGATTCATTCATAACCTCAATAGCATATAATATTTCCAGTAATATCTTAAATTTACATATCCATTATTGCGATTTATGTTTTTAATTCTGAGAAAAATTCAAGATATACAAACTGAAAATATTAAATACCCTGAAGATTTTGAAAATAAATATCAATCAAGAAATCCTGCTTAAATTCCTCTGCTTTGTGGTTGTTTTTGTTTTGCTTGCTTTTGTTTTTCAATACAGGGTTTCTCTGTAGCTTTGAAGCTTGTCCTGGAACTAGCTCTTGTAGACCAGGCTGACTGTGAACTCACAGAGATTAAGCTCCCTCTGCTTCCTGAGTGCTAGGAATAAAGACTGCACCACCGCCACCCGGCTTCTGTTTTTGTTTTTCTGTTTGTTTTGGTTTTTTCTTTTTATGTACTCAGCACAGAACTGTTATAGACTTTGTATTCTTTCTAAAAGTTCTAGCACGGATCATGGGCTACCTGAAAGAACGTGTGGATTATTGTATGCAATAATGATCACCTGTCAGGAGAGAATGAGATTGTCCTGGAATGTGAAGAGGAGAGAGTTGCCATTACTAGAGTGGGCTAGTCAATGAGCATGACAACAGTAATGACTTAAGTGAAAGAGAAAGCAAGAGCTGAGAATGTTTTTGTGATGTTCAATTCCATTTGAAAGGATTCCTGATCATTTAACTGAGTATAGTGTACTGGCCCCAGGATGCATCCTGCCTGTTGTAATGACTGTTAGAAGGTGTTGTTTCTTATTACATCTGAATTATGGTGAATTAATACTAGTACAAAATACAGTTTTACTGACTATGCTGAAATCAGATCTGCATGATTGACAAAATTTTAAGTCTAATGGGAGTCCATGAAGTAGGATTATTCTGTAATTTCCTTCCTTGTATATATATTGTCTTATTACATCCTTTATTTTCTTGCCAGTAGAAAACACACAGACACTCTTCTAGGAAATACTCTCAGAAGCCAATGTACAGAGTGGACTTGAGAATAACTCTATGAGGAAAGTTAAGAAATACAGCACTGTGTAGAGCTTCGGCAGTGGAGGATAGAAAAAAAGCAATAACTTCCCATGACATCCCTGCCTCACACAATCTAGAACCTCTGATGTCTGGCAGACTATTGTTTTTGCATCCATTCCTTTTGAAGAATCTATTGTGTTTTTCTAGAAAGAAAAGTAAACCCTGTGATACTTTTAAGTAAGACTTTAATCTTTAAAGGAATTGGGTCTTCTGAATAGTCCTCTACATTGCCCATCACGCAGTACGTACAAGCACTGTAAACCTGGGTTTGTATTAAACTCTTCTTCATCTATTTCTGAGAAGAAATATTTAAAGATAGAGGTATATATTCTAAGTGTCATCACTCAGGGACCTCTCTCCCAAAATCAATTCATGATCCTCAGTTATTTTTTAATCTTTTTCCCACTTAGAGATTCTGGATAAAGATCTGTTATAAATCACTGACCTTTAAAGGCTGTCATGCTGTTTTTGTGAGAATCCATACAATTATAGTGAATGTCCATTACTGTGAGCATATATATTTAATTTATATGTGTGTGTGTGTATGTATGTGTAATTATATATATAAATTTGCAAGTTGACTTATCTTAAAGGAGAACTTAAGGAGAAGTCATTTATCATATATATATATATATATATATATATATATATATATAATTGGAACAATATTTGTTAATCTGAATTGTACTCATTTTCAGAGAACTATTGCATATGTGATCCTGTCCATCAACATGTGAAGATCGGAAAGCAGTCTAAAGACTTTGAGAGATCATTAAATTTGTGTTCCAACATTACTCAAGATGAGAGACTCTACACTGCAAACAAAGAGCACAGTAAGGGAGAATATGACTATTTCAGCTCTGCATACAATTTTTTACAACAACCAATCTATATTAGAGAAACACCACACCATCGTGGGAAATGTAAGAAATTTGTCCACACTGCCTCAAGCCTTACTCTACATCAAAGAATTCATCCTGGAGTTAAATCCTACAAATACATCATTTGTGACAAATCCTTTATCCAGCATGCAGGTCTTAAAATGCATCAAGCACTTCATACTGGGAAGAAAACTTACAAATGCAAAGAATGTGGAAAGTCTTTTTTTGAATTATCTCATCTTAACAGGCACAACAGAATCCATGATGGTGAAAGGCCTTACAAATGTGAGGTATGTGACAAATTCTTTACCTTGAACTCAACCCTTAGAAGACATCAGAAAATTCATACTGGAGAGAAACCTTACAAATGTATGGAATGTGACAAGTCCTTTGCCCGGGACTCACATCTTAGAACACATCAGAGAGTTCATACTGGAGAGAGACCATACATTTGTCAGGAATGTGGCAAATCTTTTGCCCAATCTTCCGGTTTAAGGACACATCAAAAAATTCATATTGGAGAGAAACTTTACAGATGCAAAGACTGTGACAAATCATTTACCCATACTGTAAGTCTTAAAGTACATCAGAGAGTTCATACTGGAGAGAGACCTTACAGTTGTAAGGAATGTGACAAGTCCTTTACCACTTGCTCACATCTTAAAAGACATCAGAGCATTCACACTGGGGAGAAACCTTACAAATGTAAGGAATGTGACAAGTCTTTTACTAGCTGCTCATATTTTAGAGAACATCAGAGAAGTCATACTGGAGAGAAACTTCACAAATGCAAACACTGTGCCATGTCCTTTACCCATGTTGTAAGTCTTAGAATACATCAGAGAATTCATACTGGAGAAAGACCGTACAGTTGTAAGGAATGTGACAAAGCCTTTACCAATTGCTCAGATCTTAAAAGACATCAGAGAGTTCATACTGGGGAGAAACCTTACAAATGTGTGGAATGTGGCAGATCCTTTACCCTTTGTGCAAATCTTAGAAGACATCGGAAAGTTCACACTGGAGAGAGACATTACAAACATATGGAATGTGACAAGTCCTTTACCCATGACTCAAAACGTAGAAAACGTCATAGAGTTATTACTGGACAGAGAACTTACAATTGATAGGAATGTGGCAACTCTTTTACCTACTCTTCCAGTTTAAGGAGACATCAGAAAATCCATAATGGAGAGAAACCACACAAATGCAAAGACAGATGCATCCTCTGTCCAGATTTTGGATCTTAGGAGATATTAGAAAATTCATAATGGATTGAAACTTACCATTTGAAAAATGTAACATAGCATTTTCTGGTATTCTCTTATAAATCATAACGATATGCAAAATAGGAACATAAAGATAAGAAACTTGTGAAAGTCTTTAGGGAACTTTTACATATTAAAGAATATCCTAGAGATTATATTAAAATGCAATTCTAAATGCAAATGCAATGATGGGAAAGCTTTTTATTTCTTTTAACATGTATGCATGCTTTGCCTGCAGTTAGTCTGTGCACTATGTGTATGCCTGGTGTAAGACAGAAGGGGTCATCACATCCCCTGAAGCTGGAATCACAGACCATTGTGAACTGCCATGCCTGTGTTGGCAATGAACACTGTCCTTCAGGAAGAGCAACCAGTGCTCTTACCCACTTAGCCATGTCTGTGGCCCCTGGTTAAAAAAAAATGTAATAAGAACATTTATCATGTTTTACAATCAAAAAATCATATTATTGCCAGGTGTGGTGGTGCACTCAGGATGCAGAGGTAAAATGATACCTGAGAGTCGGAGAACATCTTCAACTTCATGCTGAGTTCCAGAACAGCTCGGACTTCACTACCTCCTTGTCAAAAGAAAACAACAACAAAATTCTAATAGAATTACATAGAAAATATCACAAAACTTTTCATTTTCTTTCTAATTTTGCTATATACCACAAAACTCATACTTCTGAGAAACCATATAAAGGTAGAGAATATAGACTCCCCATGTCTGTCAATTGGAAATTATACCTCCCCAAATGTCTTGAATTTGACAAACCCTTCACATACTGCTGAAACTGCAGAGATAAAAGAAAATTCTTAATTAAAGAAAACACTGATAAAGTTTTTTTATTCACCTTCAAATTCTTCATGCTAGAGTCAGACCATACAAATAACAAGAAAGGAATTAACTGTGAAGATGTAGGCTGTGATTGTGACATCACCAGAATGCTGACAACTTAGATATTCCCAAAGGTTAAGGATGGTGATACACCATCCCAGCTCTCTGGAGGCATAGAAAGGTGTACTCCTGTGATTTCTAGGCCAGCATTGTCTACATTGCAAATTCCAAGTCAGCCAGAGCTATACAGGAAATCCTATCTTGAAAAAAACAAAATAAGATCAAGAAAGAAATCCTAACCAGATGCAGGACTTCATTTTGAACTACTGAAGAAAACGTGGGAAGAATTTACTTGAAACTCTATAATAAAATGATATAACTTCTGTTAACTGCCAGTACACCTTCTCTGACGTAAAGGAGACCTGTAGGACCCAACCTCAATTATGTTGAAATGGTAATTGCCCCAATCTTACACAGTTGCTTTTTCTTAGGCTCAAATAATTATTAATCTATACATTCCCACTACCTATTGCAGGAGAAGATTTCTTTCACCAATGTTGAGAATAATATGAAGTTGTCATCTTAAACATGAACGTTTAGATGGGAGATTAATGTTTATGATTGTTAATCAAAACATCAATAGAGTTCCTACCTACAACCTATAGGTCTCAATGTTTTTGTTTTTTGTTTTACCATGGAATGAATTCCTCTCTGTAGTACAGGTTTGAAATCCAATCAAGAGAGAGTTTGTTTATGTCCATTAATATTGGTGCCAGTTTTGCACCAGTCCCCACATCTTGGCTGGCAAGTTTTTATTGTAACGTGTATGGTCTAGGGCTAAGTAAGACCATTAACATCATTTCTGTGAGAACAGCCATTCACAGGACCTTACAGTGCCACAAAGACTGGCCAGCAGGGAATGTTGCCTGGTATATTCAATATTTTAAAGTTTAGTGTCGTCAGCTACACCATGTACTTATGGTGTCTGACCAAGAGCACTTGGAATGACCTGTTTTGTTAATGGTGACAATGAGGCCCCCCTGACCAGTTAATCCTAGGCAAATAACCAGTATCTGGTACAGAGAGTTCCACTAAATAACCCTGGTGTTTGGGAGCCGCATTATTTACCCATGTGGGACACCTTTACTAATTTGTAAGATAAGGGGATTTCGTAAGGTTTCTACACAGATTTTTACTTTGGTTGAGCCACCTACTCCTCATCCCTTCTCTGTGCTCCATCCCCAGTTAAAGATTTAGCACACATCCAATGCCCAAATCTTTTATAACACATGTTATATGAAGAAGTTATCCAAATATCTACTTTTTCTATTCCTGTTGGAATATTGTCTGTCTCCAAGCATTCACCTGTAGCCTCATGGTGTGTGCTATATGAATGGTTGACTGAGCAAAAAAAAAAAAAAAAAAAAAAAAAAAAAAAAAAAGACTATGGCCTAGTTTCTGATGTCTCTGCACATTATACATACACCACCAGAAGTGACAGCTGCAGCATTACAACTCCTTTCTGGAACAATCCTGAAAGACAAAGTTGAAGGGAATTCTCCACAGTGGGCTGAATTGTAGCAAGAGTTCTAATAGGTCTTCATAATAAAAGCCCAGAGTCAGATATGGGAGAAAATGCAGTATTATTTCCAGTATCAGATATTGGAGATATTAGAGAGGGGAAGGAGCAAAACCATAGCTATATCACCTCTTTACTTCCCAACCGACAGGAGACTGAGTTCCTGTTTTTTCCACCTTATCACTTTCTCTCCTGCTAGTCATATCACCCCCTGTTTAACTTTACAGACCTCCAGACCTTTATGGTTAGATAGTGGCTAACTCTGCCCTCTGATCTTCAGGCAAGGTTTATTTGTAAAAAACAAGATATCACATTTCCTCTTTTCTGTCAAAAATATTTTAAAGGGAGGTTATAACTAATATAAGAAAAATTATATAAAATAAGTGCAATAAATATATACAGTATATACTGGTAATAAATACATCAACAATTTCTAGTCTATTAGCAATTGGCAAATTCAGAAAAAATACTTCATATCTATCGTATCTTGGTGAGTCCAAAATTGTACCTAATTTGCTTTTTTTTACAAAAAAGATTTATTTATTATGTGTACAGTGTTTTGCTTGCAGGCCCAAAGAGGGCACCAGATGTGATTACAGATGGTTGTGAGCCACCATGTGGTTGCTGGGAATTGAACTCAGGACCCCTGGAAAAGTAGCCAGTCAGTGCTCTTTACCTTTGAGTCATCTCCCTAGTCACCCAATTCACTTACTAATCTAACTTGCAATTTTTTTATGTCCCTCAACCTTAAACACTTTACATTCCTTAAGTGAATTTCCTTTCTGAATCTGGTAACAAGGAAAACTAAATATAAAGTCTTGAGCTGTATCAGAGACTAGAGAAGGAAATAGGAAGAACAAGCAAGCAACTTCCAAAATAGATGAGAAATGACAGAAACAGCTGACTTCCTAGACAGTCACCCTGAGTTCCTCTGCAATGATAGGACATCCATCTTTGGCCTATTGGCCAGCCAAATTGGGCAGACACTTTTGTGAAGCAGCATATTCTGAAAGAGTGTCCTACCTTGGCAAAGTTCAGCAGTCCTTTTGTTTGTGTCTTCCTTTTTCAATTAGTACAGCACACTGTTAGCAGTTGAGGCAAGAGCATTTTCTTCCCAATGACTAACCTTTGCCACAAAGAAAGTAAGTTAAATTATATGTGGAGTTTCTTCCATATCCATCATCTTCTCCCAAGTAATTTGGTGCTACCAGGAGCAGACATGGCTCATTGTCATAAAAAAGAAAAGAACCTGAGTTATTAAAATATCTTAAATGTCATATTCTGTAGATCTCTAAAGTGTTTGAAGATGACCAATCTAAAATATACCTTGTTTATGACTACAAAGTCGATTGCAATAGGTGTCTAATTTCTAATCTGCATTTCCTTATTACCCTAAATAGTAATAATAAAATTCAAGGACTAGAAATTTGCATTATGTTCTTAAATAAGTTTCATAGGTACCATGCCTTGAACAAGATTAGAACTGAATGAACAGTGCATTCTAACAAAAACAATCTCAACTTTTATCAATATAAAAAAATCCAAGCCAATGTACAATATTTAAAATTAGTAGTTGCTTCTTCGGTTTAAAAGTAGATTCAGTAATATACCTTTTAATCCTATTTCTATATCCCTCCTTTATCCTATCATATCCATATTCCCCCCTTTTTTTTCAAAACAAGAACTCTGAATCTTCTTATAGATAACAGTCTTCAAAGGAATGCCTGCCAATTTCATTGAATCTCAAAGTATACTTTTGTTTGAGTTCCAAAGTAAACTTGTAAACATTACATTTTAAAGGTAACCTTTTATTCATCATTAAATTTCCATCTGAGGCACACTGGGATGTAAATACAGCATTCTGAAGTTTCTTTGCCAGGCCTCATGGCACACCTTTAATCCCAACACTCAGACACCTGAGGCAGGAGGATCACAGGTGGATCATTTGGAGGTTGAAAAGCTACACATAGTCATTTCAAGGACAGCCAGCACTATACAGAAAAAAATGTTTCAGGGGAAACTAGAAAATGCAAAAAGAAATGTAAATGCATTTTAGTATATAATGATGTTCTATAGAAAGCATCTCTGGTTGTAGGCTCTGCTCCAAGATTCATCCTTCACTTATCCTGGGAAACAGCCTAGGTCTCCAGTACCAGGCATGTTTTCCCTCTTGTTGGGAGGTTCTTTAACAGATTAGAAGCTGTTGGTTACCACCAAGGTTTTTGTGCCAGTCTTGCACACTTGGGCTATCATGCAGTACAGACCATTGTTGTAGTTTATATGTGTCATAGCTAGGTATGACTGTTGGTTGGCTCCCTCCTTTGGAAGGCTGCGTGTTGGCTTCTGGTACCATGAAAGCTAGTCCCCAGGGAGGTGACTTTTCAGTCAGTTCCATCTGGAGACCTCTAGGATTTATGTCTGAAGTCTGTGGCTTCTTCAACACTAGAAATTCAAGTTATGCCTCTGAAAGGCAACCACGGGTAACAGCAATATCCTGTAATGTTTGGAAGTCTCTTGTTAACTGTGACCAAGAACTTCAAGACAGGCTTCTTACACCTGGCTTTGTGGTGATATCTTGTTTCTATAAATAAAGCTTGCCTGAAGATCAGAGAGCAGAGCTAGCCACTAACTAACCATAGATGTCTGGACGATTGTAGAGACAGACAGTAAGTGATATGGCTGGGCAGAAAGAGGAAGTGATAAGACAGGAAGAGACAGGAACTCAGTCTTTTCAACTGGGAAGTTGAGTAGGTAAGGTGACTGTGGTTTGCTCTTTCATATCTTTGATCTCTCAGCACTTTCCCCTATATCTGACTTAGGACTTTTATTATTAAGACCTTTTAGAATGTATGCTACAGGTCTTGGTCATTGTATTAGAAATACTATCACTCTTGTGAGGGGGCATCATCAGTGTCATTGGGACATTTTCATTTGTACTCGAAATGTATGTGCTTGCAGAGAATTATATTATTATGGGCATTTTGGGTGGGTGAATAATAGGTAAAGAATAGATGGATTCCTTGTGAATTTTCCAGACATCCTTACTGTTATTTTACCCTCCTCATTCTGTGTTTTTATCTGTCTGTTTTCCATACTTAAATCCTCACCCTTGATTTTTCATTTCTCCCTTCAGATCACTTGTTACTTAGTGCGGGAGAATTATCTGTATTCTGTCAATCATATATTTTAAAAGAACGCTGACTGGCCAGGCAGGAAGTATAGGTGGATCAACCAAGCAGAAAGTAGAGGCGGGGCAATGAGAACAGGAGAAGGCTAAAAAAGAGGAAGCCCATTACTCCATTCCTGCCCAGACCACAGAGAAGCAAGATGTAACCTGCCCCGCTGGAAAAGGTACTGAGCCACGTGGCTAACATAGATGAGAATAATGGGTTAATATAAGCTATAAGAGTTAACAAGAAACCTGAGCTAATGGGCCAATCACTTTATAACCTAATGTAGACTCTGTGTGATTTTTCTTTGGGACTTGCCAGTTGTAGGGTACTGG